AGACAAGCTGTGTACTGGAGTCATCATTAATCTTCCTATCTCCTGCTGATGTGCGACATTCTTTTGTACACCTTAGGACAAGAGTTTCTTTGGGAAACGTGCTGAGTGTGCCACAGAAATGCTCAGGATCCAGAAAATTGGCAATCTGTTGGAGTCCCACAGCCGTCAGGATCCATGTATTTATAAACCACTGCAAACATCTGCTTTATCACCATCAGAATAAACAGGACAGTACATGGTATTTTGGGGAAGGTGTCATGCCTCGTAAAATCACGTTACCTGTTTAAACAAGTGCTTAAAAAACTTTTCAAAATCTACTTCGACCTACACTGGTCCTTTCATTTCAAATTACTGTTGATCCTGTGTTGTCTTCATCACTAAGTAAAAATAGGACATTTGGTTTCTTTAGGGTGTGATAGCCTTTACATAGATATATGGAGGGAAACAGACTTGTTTCATCGTGAAGCAGTAGACTAAGAGCTCTTGCCTCATGGTCAGTCATTTTCTCTATAAAGTTCAGAACAGGAGACCAACCACACTTGAAAAGCCATCACTTCAAGGGCAGGTTATTTTCTTCTATGTGTGAACCCTTTAATGTTCGACAATTGCACAGCTCGAACATGACTTTTGTGTTTGGAGAGAAATGGCCCATAAATGCACCGCACCTTAATGACACATTGATTAAAGATATAGATTTTCCCCACTCTGTCAGCTCCTCGCACACTCACAGTATCATTTCCAGCTTCTGCAATTTTGCACTCGTCTCCACGGCTCCATTTTCCAGCAAAGCAATCAACCTGCAGTCGCCAGAATTCTAAAATGCTCTGCTGCCTTTGGCTGTCATTTCAGCATGGTTTAATTCACTCCACCTCCTCCTGTGCTAATTCAGCTCCCAACTGGGTTATCATCCCCTTGGAGCTAGCTTCTAACATCAGGAGGTGTAAATCCTGTGGTTGGTTTGACGATTTTTGAGTTCATGCTTTTGATGACTGTCCAAAAGTGGAAAAAAGTTTTGATAATTCAAAAGTCTACAGAAATTGGCAAACAAAATGTGTGAGACCAATGTAATGAACCTGAGGAAATGGACAGAAAACATTAACAGAACTTTGGGGTTTTCCACAACTTCCATCCAGTAGTTCATCTTCCCACCACCAACCAATGAAAAACAAGAAAATCCTGACTTGCAAAACAGTTGTTGTTTTGATTCTCATATAACAAAGACTTCAATGGTCAACATGGAGAACCTTTGCAGAAAACATCATCATGTTCACAGACTTTTTCTGAACAAATGATGAGATTTGTCTTTTTTCTATATATGTAAATCCCTGGGGAAAATGCTCTAAATACGACATTGTGTGTAACATTGAATCTTTTTTTCCAACAGTTTTCTAATATTTTTTAGACACTTTTTGTTTTTCTGCCTTTGCTCGACCTCATTAATATTTGGGGAAACACAAGACACATCGAGGTTTAATAATAATCAGACAGAACATGTCAAACCTTCAATACTGAGAGTTTTTAATAAAGTAAATCCAACAGTTTGCCCAAAGAAAATTTGATCAAATGAACAAAGACTGGTTCGCTCTGTTCTCATACTGTGATATGTTCTTGGTAATTAGTGCTGAGGGGTGGGGCAAATAAGACGGGTGAGAAGAAAAGCATGTGCTCCAGGAGCAAAGCCATCTCGTGAATTTTAGCGTTGAAAATCTCCATTGTTTCATATTGCAGAACTTTGGTCATTATTTTGATATTCTGATGATTTTGTCAGCAAGTGTATTCCTTTAATAGATCAGCAAGGCTTGAAAACTATTGGTTGTATTGTCTTAAGTGACATTTTACAAAAAAATAGTTTGTAGATTACAAAACAACGCTATTGTAAAGAATAATTAAAATTAGCCTCCAAACAGCTAATCTTTAGCTCGAGATTAGCCACATACAGTAGGTTAGATTACATCTTAGTAAGCAGCTATGTGCTGTGGGTAGGATTTTCAATTTTTTTTGTTTTTACAGAGACATTTGGAAGGTCGCCACATACAGTAGGTTAGATTATACTTAGATTATAGGATTTTCAATTTTCTTTGTTTTTACAGAGACATTTGGAAGGTTGTTTGCTCTATAATTATCTGAGTCTGTTGAATTGAATAAAGCTGCATTATTTAGTATCAGTTCATTTAAATATGTTGTTTTCCTTGTTTTATGTTTAGGTTATATTTAGATATTGGTTTTTATTTACTGTTAAACAGCAGAGAAGTGACATGTGTCTCATAAGACCCACTTTAAACTGTTGTTTGTGTTGATGTTTTTGTTGCAGAGCTCCTGTTTTTTCTGTTTACTTAATGATTACTTTGTTTTCTGAACTGTTATTAGCAAATGTTCTGGCAATTAGAGTGTACGCTGGAAATGTTGCAGCAGTAGCAGCAGATGCCCTCGGCTGGAGACAATTAGCACCACTGTGCTTCTCTGGTTTTAATAAGTATACTTGTCAAAGAAGTGGTTTAAGACCTGTATATGACACAGAGGAGAGCCTTGGAGGCAGTGAAAAGACTTGGTTGTACTGCCTTACCAAAATTTGAATTTTGAATCATAATACACAACATAAAATCTTGTGGTGAAATAAATCACTACCAAAAGCCTCTGACACAAACATGTCTGTATAATTGGTCATTAGCCTAATGTCCAAATGAGTCCCAAAAAGGTACACGAGGCAGAAGAGTCATTCATGGAAGAACATATTTATTAACTTCACTACCACTGAGGGAAAACATGTGCTCTTAGGGCTCTTAATGACCCTCAATCTCCCACAATTCAAGTCATTTTTATTCATGCAGCCCAAAATAACAAAACACTTATAGTCTTGAGTGAGTAGTCTTCCTGTTGCAAATCAGACGTTTAAACCTTCTTTGACTTTGGTTTAATCCTAATAAACCTACATCTCTCTCGACCCTCTCTCTGTTGTGAATTCACATAAAGGTGTGAATACCCAGAGCATTGTTTCCGAGGGTTAGTGAAAACATGTAAGAGGTAAATGCCAAATGCTATTATTGCTGTAAAATCTTTTGTTAGCTTTTCGAGTGGGAGTGGAATGTGTACAGCTAAGCTCCCGTTGCATGTTATTAGAAATTGTCTGACGGTTGCACATCTATTTGGCAAATTTCAATGTGGCAGCAAGTACTGTACGACTGTACAAATAACTTAAACTAAATTATCCAAAGATAATTAACAAATTGGTAAAATGGCTAAACACCCTCCCTAGAATTGAACAGTGGTTTCACCCTGACCTCACAGCCAGAGACAACATTTCACACATACCTTGGAAACAACAGCAACTGAATGTTGTTTATTGTATTTGAAAAATGCTAAAACTCACCACTGTTCCACAAAATAGCTGGAGAATCGCTTATTACAATGTACTAAACTGACCATTTTTGCTTCAGGAATGATGGGATTAGCTATTTACCCTCAAGTGTCTAGAATCTGCAACCGGGAATTAGGTCACAATGTACCTGTAATAGTAATGTATTTAGGTAGTCACAATGTACCTGTAATAGTAATGTAATGATATACTATTGCTGTAACTTTATAAAAAAAAGACCACAAACTTGGGCAGAGAAATAGAAAAAAACAGGAACTTGTTGAGAACTGGCTTAGAAGCCAGGAACTTGTTGAGAACTTGCTTAGAAATAGTTCATCTTAGCCAAAAATACTTGGAAGTAACCAAGAAGGCCAGTCCAAAAATAGCAAAAAGCTAGCCAAAATACCAAAGTAAAGATATACTGATAAATGTATCGTTAAACATCATGTCACCTCGTTTGTCTGTTGGAGTATGCTAATAAATGTTTGTTGAATAAAATAGCTACATTTGCATGTGCTAGTAGTAACAGTATAGCTAACTAACTGGCAGCGCTACCCATAATGGTCAGTGTGAGAGTTTATTTATATGTTTGTAAATAAATATTTCAAAGAAACTTCATCTGATAGTGGGGATACACTAGAGTCATGGCTCATGCCAGGACCAAGGTATTACCAGGTCAGACTGGCTCACTGCCACATTGAAATGGAATGGGGTCAATATAATAACTATATATAATAACATATAATTAAATAAGTTTCATGTTTCCACCATGTTGTGAAAAATCTATTAACAAATTAGTAACTACATGTAACGCGTGTCTGGTTTTAGGGAATTAGTCATTTGATTTGCAACAGTAAAGGCTGTAAAGACTAAAACATCTAAAAACTACATTTCCCGTGACACATTGCTCATAAGCAGTCACGCCCCCGAATTGAATGGCAAGTTGTTTGTTTCACTCCGGCCGGCTGCTAACTATTCTAGAGCAAACATGGGAAGCAGCAGTCCACCGCTCTCTATTTAACTCATAAGCTGCAGGAGGACGGTCAGACACACACTTCCGCTTTAAGTATTTTTCTTCAAAGTAAAAGCACATGTTTTTCAACAAGTAAACAAGACTACAAACAAATAGATAAATTGACATTTTCACTGTTTGTTTGTTTTTACTTTGTTTAGAACGAAAGACAACACGAGAAATGTGTCAAGAAAGACAAAAACTAATGTTTTTACCTGAAAGATTCTAAGATTTAGTGTAAATGCATTGTTGTAATGACTACTTTAACTTTAGGCACAAACACAAATAAAACAAACTAAACAAACTAAATAAAACAAACTAAACTGAAGATTAAAATATTAGGACATATTTACTTTGCCAAATGTCTTCATTTGACTTCAGTTAATGTAGTGGGGGTGGGAGAAGCTAGTTAAATTAGCATGTAGAGAAAACAAAAATGTGCAATGACCATGGGGCTCTTACCATGATACATGATACACATGATACTTTTAAATAATCCACTGACTGTCAGTCACATGACAAATTCTAATTACCGGTACTCTCCTGCTTTATATAAATAATATGAATTTATTAATTTATATTCATTTATTTTCATTGTATTTATTTGATTTAGGAAAGTGTTTTACCTCTATTTACAAAGTGATATTTCTGTGAAAGAGTTTAGGAGACCGCTTAAATATTACATAGTCGTGCTTCTGCTTTTATTTTGAGACTCTGAAACCGGAAGACTAAGCGGTTTCCGGCGCAGGTTTGACAGCAGGTCCCGTTTCTTTTTTTTCACATCTTTGCTTTCTTTATTCCTCTCACTGCCTCTCTCTTTCTGTCTCTGCCTATTTAAACGCCTTATAGCCTGTCGGGTGTGTGACTGTACGCTTGCGTGCAGTATTTATTTGTTTATTCACCTTATGTTGACGTATCGAGCTTTTAGGTTTTAGCCCGTTCCTCAAATGAGAAGACGTAAAAGATGGAGCTGCACATTTTAGAGCACAACCTGAAAGTGGCGAGTATAGAGAAGGAGGGGATCCAGGTCTGCACTCACGGATTAATAAAACTCGCTTTCTTGGCCCCCAAAACAAGGTTAGTAACTTCCAAGACGCGAACACTACCATATATGTTTCACACTCGTAATTACAACGTAGCAAACACACGCACCTTCGTATACTTGTGTTATAAAGGGGTCGTTCGTGTACTAATGCAGGTTTCTGAACCCATTTCTGACTATGCTTTTTACACTGTCACCAGTTTTCAGGCCTGCCCCCGTTTTTAACTGTGAGTGTCACTGGTCTAAGTGTCTGCATTTCCTTGCAACAACATTTTCAGAACTATACACGTTTGTGTGAGAACTAGGGCTCTCAGTTCTATGATATTTTTTGTGGTTGGAGTTAGAATGTTAATATCCTGATCTCAGTAGACAGGTCTTGGTCTTAAGGATGTTGGATCTAAGGTGGAAAATATTTGATTCGTAGGGATTTGGTAAAGTTTGGACAGAGATGGAAATTTGGTTAAGCTGTAACCATGTTAGAGACATTAGCTGTCTTGACCAGGACTTCAAATGTTAGGATTAAGTGGGTTGGTTCATTCATAGTTGGGCATTTCGTTTGGTTTTGGCTTTGGTAAAGGATAGCGCCTGAACAGCAATAGCTAAACAAAAACAGCATTACATGTTTGAGCTTGTGTATGTACTTATTGCCTTATTGACAAACCAGTGTTCCTCATAGCAACTATGTCCTGGTCCTAATGAAACAAGACCTCATTTTCCAGGATCCTATTTACAGTCGCAATTAGGATATGACTTGTGATCAGGATACTTTTAGGGTTCCACATTATCTGATGAACTGTCCAATTAATAACTAGTATGAGGATGGTAGTTGGTGTTCATTAGAACTAGTTTCTTTAACACTTACCAAAGCCTTTGCTTTAATGGGTCTGGCCTCATGGAGACTGAGCCTAATTTACTTTGTAAATATTAGGATTGTTTACTGAAATGATGTTTGTTGGAGATTAAAGTATTGAACAGATTTAGTTCAATTTTGGAATAGATATGTAATAAGGCTGTTGTAATGAATGACTCAACTCATGAATCAACCACAGTGGCAGAGCAACTCAGTACTTTCTTGGTTCAAATATTCTGGCTTCCCGTTTTAGACCTTTGTATGAACGTAAACAGGAATAAAATAATAAAACAGGAGAATGAACGAGATACAAATATTTGCATTAAATAAAAACCTTAATATACAAATGAAAAAACAAGGACTATATTATGACACTACAAATCCAATTATATTTTTAATTTTTAAGAAAAATGTAATTCAACTCTCTTCGAACCATAGGTAATGTCAGATAAATAATTGCCCTGGCTGAAACTTGGATTAGGCAATAAATTGTGGTTGCCAACTGTGAGTTATGCAGATGACATTATACTGTTGTTAAACAAAAACATAACGCTCATTAAAGCAATCAGTGGGATAATGTGTGAGTGCAAAGCCAAACCAGTGTAATGGCTTGTTTAATTTACTTAATTTAAGAATATGTTTAAGATTTCTGGTTGGACTTAACCAGAATAGAAAATGAGTACTTGAAAGCATTTGTTTAGGACAGAGCTACATTTTTATCTCTGTTAGATCGCTCACACTCATGACAGACAAACACAATAGACAGGGGTATTTTTCCTTTCAAAAATAGCACATTTTAGCACAAAAGCAATTGCACATGAATACAAACAGACATAACGTGTGTTCCTTTGCTATCAGCGCAACCTGTTTATTAAAATGAGCTGCTAGGCAAATTAGTCCACTTCAGTAACACACTGGCTCATGTCCTTCATCGGTTTTTATCAACAGAAACAGTCAGTCAGTCATTAGCTCCAGTGAAGCATAGTACTGGTAGTGTGTATTGGGATGTGT